TATCTATATCTATATCTATATCTATATCTATATCTATATCTATATCTATATCTATATCTGTATCTGTATCTAAGTATTCAAACTTGTGTCCCCCTGTAGAGTTATTCCTCTCTCATGCCTATCACATCCGATAGTCTGCTGCCTTAGACTATATTCCTCATGTCCCACTCTGCCCTCTAGATAACTCTTATCATCTATCTTGCCTGATTGCATAAGTATCTGAAAATTATTCTTCGGGTAACTTCAAGTCGAGCACTCCCCACTGGAGCACTTGTGTTTGTCCTCATGTGCAACAGAGACAGCTATATATTTAGCTATTTTACTCTTCTCTCTCTCTCTCTCTCTCTCTCTCTCTCTCTCTCTTTATCGCTCATCGGCGAATACGTTTGAAACGCACCTCGCATAATTATGTTATGTTTACGTTTTAATCGCATATCTACACTTTTTATGCGCGCACATGAATATTTATATGATTTTCAAGGTTGTTGAAGATTTTGGCGCGTGTGTTTGTGTGTGTGTGCGATAAAGCGCACAGAGTGTGTCCGTGTGTGTGTGTGTGTGTTCGGGAAGTTCGTTTATCTAATCGCTGGGCCAAACAGTTCTCAATGCGTGTTAAAGTACGTGTTGCACATATGTAAACAATAATTGGTAGCTGCTCAGCTGCTGCTGCTGCTGCTGCTGCTGCTGCTGCTGGGCCGCCGCCTGGCAACGCTGCGTATGCGTGATTTATGACTTGATGCGGAGAAATTTGCTTGACATGCAAAGCCAGCGATTGGCTCGGCTCAGCTTGGCTCGACTCGGCTCAGCTTGGCTCGGCTCGGCTTGTCTTGGCCTGGCCAATTGCCCACACAAGTCACGCGCCCAGCCAGCGAGCCAGCGTGCCAACTATGATGCTAAATAGAGCTCCACATGTAGAGTACATATTGGATATCCGATATGTCCTTCGGTCGTATGCAGAGTCAACAAACTGTGCTATGATATGATATGAGGTGCGCGTGTGTGTGTGTGTGTGACTATAATACATATTGATATAACGATATATACATATATACATAACTGATGAATTGCTGCGCTGCACTTCCCTCCCATCGCACGCAATTTATCAGGCATCAAATTGTCGTGGGAAGCTAAAATGCAAACAAAAACTTAACAAATTGGCTGTGCAAATAGGAAGCAGCAAATGCAATGCATAAATAGATAACAATTTGTTATTGTTGTTGTTGTTGTTGCTGTTGTTAAGCACTAGAACTTGTCGCCGCTCGTCACTTAGATAAGCTACAGCTGGCCTCTAGCTAAATACACGTTTAGCTCCGATTGTCGCTTAGCCACGTGTTGCTAACGATCAACACGTTGCCCGAGCTGAGCTATCCCCTTCAGCTTCAGCTATCCCCCCAAGCCCCGCCCCCTTTTCGTTGCTTGGCAACAGCGAGCTGTTACAACGCCCCTCTTGCGGCTTGAATGAAGTGCCCAGAAAATGCGGAAGTCATTTTTCGGCTCAGTATAATTATGTTGCTCATGAGTAATAGCTCATCATCATCATCATCATCAGCATCAGCATCATCATCGTCTTGTGGGTAAGACAGGCGGCCACGCGCCTCTGTTGTTTGTTTCCTCTATGAGACAAGAGCCAACATATGTCACTCCCTCTCTCACTAGCTGTCTCTCCCTCGCCCTCTCCCTCTCTCTCCAACTCTCTCATTGCTTAGAACTTGAGGTCAAATAAAGTCGACTATGAGCGACGCATAGATACGCCGTGAAGCACTTTTCTATATACACTTCATACAAATCTGCCTAGGCTCGTCGTATTACAGGGTATTCATGGTTGAGCATATTCCTTCGGTTTTTTTTTTTTTTTTTTTTTTGGCAATAAATTTGTATTATGAATGCCGAGCAAAGTCACAAAATGAGAAGCACGTGGCGCGCGCAATGATGCCGACCGGCTGATAAGAGCGATTCACAAACAAACGCACACACACACATATAATCATACGCATGCTTACGCACACACACACACGCACACATACACACGTACGAATTTGTTATCAACTCAGCAATTAGCAAACGTAAATTGACGTCAAGCAAATTTACTATAGCTGAAAAAAGACGAAATAATTATATATAGATGTGGGTACTCACATACGGAATTTGTGCACAGATTGTCTATGGGATATCTGCGGCGTGGGCGGGGGCGGGGGCGGGGGCGTTGGCTGAAGCGTAGTCGAACGACGTAAAGATTAACTAGCTGGTAACGCATAAGCGAACTAGTTCACGAGCGTAACAGAGCGCATTAAATGGAAATCTGTTTAGTTTGGATGAGTTTTAATTTATGGAATACCACGCCAGCTAGCTAACACGCTTCAGAAGTATGTTCTGTTAGCTGAGCTAGCTCAGATGAACTAGTTCATAGCAAGCGTCTCATGAGCATGACTATCAATGGCAATTTTATTATTTGAATCAGAAGCATTTTCAACATAAATTGAAATTGAATGAACTATTGAAATATAGGAGGGGTTCAGTGAACGATCGAGCAAAGAGCTGGAACTAGCGATTCAGTGAACGAACAAAGCAAACTCGCCCAGAAGTGAACACAATTTTGCTCGATGCAATATACATATATGTAATCCTTAAATTCAGAAAAATATATGAGTAGACAAAGCACTAGAACTAGTTCCAAAATGAGCTGCATTTGATCATAGCAAAGTTATATGAAATAGCAAAGGTAAATATTTTATAATAGCGGCGCACTAACAAGCTCACTGGAACCAGTTCCCGAGAACTAGTTCATTTGAACTAGTTCATTGGGCCTTGTTCACTAGAATTGTTTCACTGAAACTAATTCACGAGACCTAGTTCATAAGAACTAGTTTAAAAGTTCAGCTGCATCATTTTGGAACGAAAAATAATTCATTAATGAATGAACCTACACTATCCCATACAATCCCATATACTCTAACTATAGAAATATCACAAATCCAACTAGTCCAAATGAGTAAGCTATGAAAACAAAGTCGGCTGGGAAAGTTCTGTTGGTTTTTCCATCACAGGGTAAACATTTTCAGTTCTGAATCAGATCGGTCAGAGAGAAATAAATTTAATGAAATTTAAAATCTGAATTTAAAAGAAGAAAAGAACAAATTAAAACAGTGGCCGATATAAATGCGATACAAACAGAAACAAATGAAAGGTAGTGAAAGAAACTTAAGAAATACTAAAACGTCTTTTCTCGTATTGGCTCTTTGCAGAGAAATTCCTGGGCCAGCACAATCCGGGACATCGGAACAGCACCAGCAGCGAGGCAACCAGCGAGGACATCAATTCCAGCGACGAGCACCTGAACAAGCCCAAATGCCGAGCTGGCAACAATTCTGGCAATCATCAGAGTAGCGGCAACAGCAACAACAAGTCGCGCTCGAAGCGCCAGCAGAAGGGGCAGGCGTTGAAGCAGACGCCTGGACAGATGCAGGTGCAGATACAGGTGCAAGTGCCACAGGAGCAGCAACAGCAACTGCAGCAGCAGCAGCAGCAGCAGCCGAACAAAGCCAACGGCAAGTGCAAGGGCAAGTGGCGCAACAACAACAACAACAACAACAATAATAATAATAATAGCTGCAACAATAACAACAACAACAACAACAATAACGGCAACAATTGCAATTCGAAGCGTGGCAAGGCAAAGCAAAACAAGTGCAACAATAACCAAAACAACAACAACAGGCTGCACAACAACCACCACAACAACAACAATAACAACAACAACGGGCACGGCAACAACAACATGAAATTCAACAGCTCCAATTCCTCATCAGCTGTGAGCTCACCTGGTGGCTCACCCATTGGCAGCATCTGCAGCAGCATACGCAACAACAACAACAACATCAACTACAACAACAACAACGGCAACTACTACAACCATAACAACAACAACAACAACAATAAGCATGGAGTAAAATCGATAACCAGCTGGCAACGCGAAGAGCGCCAGCTGCACAAGGCTCAACAGCGTCAGAATTTGAATTTCCTGGTGCCGCCGCTGCGTCAATACGAGCGCCTGGACATTGATGATGAGGCGCTGATGCGCCAGCTGCGCCGCTATCTGATCGATCAGAATCTGTTGCGCGTGTACGGCTTCCCGGTGGCCAGTGTGGTGCACGACGGGGCCATCGAGATCTTCAAGTGTCTGCCGCACATGAGCTTCGCGGCCGCCCATGTGATGGCCGTGGCCGAGTCGGCATTGACGGTGATCAATTGCCATGATGGCCTGAATACGAGCCAATTCGAATATGTGGTTGGCGGCCAGGAGGTTGGCCATCCCGACGAGCTCATTGGCGGCGGCACTGGCCGCATCAGCAGCAGCAGCAACAGCAGCACCACCAGCGGCAGCAGCAGCAACCACATCAGCAACAGTGACACTAACAACGATAGCAACAATAGCAACAATGGCAACAACAACAACAACCACAGCCCAACAGCAACAACATCCACAGACTCGGGCAACATATCGCCACGTTCCCTCGACTCGGAATCGGGCGGCGAATGGAGCGGCAGCGAATGCGAATCGGCACCCAGTGCCGAGATCAGCTACGCGCTGGAGCTCTATTGCAACTACCCGATGGTGGAGCGCACCCTGGCCAAGCAGTGTGTGCGCTGCAAGCGCGAGTTCCTGGTGGACGATCTGAGCGGACAGTATTTGACGCGCGAGGAGTGCACATACCATTGGGGCAAGTACCATCGCTGCTACGACGGCAATGTCTGGGTGAGCCGCTGGACCTGCTGCAATGGCACCGAGGAGAGCGATGCCGGTTGCACGCATCACGATCTCCATGTGTGGACCGGATCGGTGGTGGGCGTGAATGGGCCCTATCATGATTTTGTCCATACACGACCGCGCAGCGGCTCGTCGGCCCGCAACCGTGAGCCGCCCGCCGTCTATGCGCTCGACTGTGAGATGAGCTATACGGGCCGCGGCCTGGACGTCACCAAAGTATCGCTGGTGGCCCTCAACGGGCAGCTGGTGTACGAGCATTATGTGCGACCGGATGCCGATATTGTTGATTATAATACACGCTTCTCGGGCGTCACCGCCAAGGATCTCAAGGCGAACGGCTGCAAGTCGCTGGCCGAGGTGCAGCGCGATCTGCTGGAGCTGATCGATGCGGACACCATACTGATCGGACATGGGCTGGACAATGATCTGCGCGCCCTGCGCATCGTCCACAATACGCTGATCGACACATCCATTGCGTTTCCACACACAAGCGGATTCCCCTATCGCCGGGCCCTGCGCCACCTGACCAAGACGCATCTCAATCGCGAGATCCAGAGCGGGGACGGTGCCACTGGACACAGCAGTTTCGAGGATTCACGCGCCTGCATGGAGCTGATGCTGTGGCGTGTACGCCGTGAACTGGCCTCCGGCGCTGCCTGGGAGGATTAGATTAGTCTGTATAGCCTCAACCCACCCCCCCCACGAAACACTCACACACACACACACACACACACACAAAGACGTCCAAGCTCTGGCCACGGGGCGGGTCACATTCACTGTATCGTATCGTATCAGATCTATGGGCGGGGCAACCCAAGTACTTTTAGTCTGTAAGACGTTCCTAGTTTTAGTTAATTTTTTTTTTTTTTTTTTTTTTGGAGTGATCCTTGAACGGATGATCGCTTCTTGTATTTAATCTCAGTCTATGTTTGCTTTATCCTTCTGGCCTTCACATCACATCCAAAAAAAACAGCCCCCATTGAACCATTAACATCCATTGATTTCTCTCTCCCTCTCTCTCTCCCTCTCCCTACCGAGCCCTGCTAGTCCCTGCGAAATTCTGTCCATCCCCCTGCCCTTGTCCCAAGTTTATGTGTTTTTTTTTAGCCCCGCCTCATCTAAATTCCACGCCCCCTCCCACCCTCCCCCCTCCCCTCCTGCTCGCCCCTTAAATCGACCTAACTCATCAGCTCTGGCGCCCCAATCTGACGAAGCAGCCGGGCAACGCCATTGTGAACTGAGAATGAAAACCCCAAACGAAAGGCATACATACACACACACATACACACGCACGCACACAAATGCAAAAATTATAAAAAAAAAGGAAATAATAAAAGCGACAAGAAAATTGACCAAAAAAAAAAGAAGAAAAACAAGCAAACAATAATATGGAATAGGAAAGCGAAAACAAAACAAACAAAGCACAAAACAAACAAAACTGACAAAATGTCGTTTATATAGAGCAAAGTCTATTTTAAGTTATACGACGATATATGTGTACATATATATATAAAATAGCATACATATAGATACACGCATATATATACACACATACACGCATATATATATGTATATGTGTGTAGAAATATATGTATATGTATACAGATCTATCTATATGTATGCCTATATAGATCTATCGATATATATATGTATGTAGATTTATATAGAGAGATAGATCTATCTATCGATATCTATCTGTATATAGATCTATCTATACATATG